ATATTGGAGGTTATGACACCGGTTTGAAGGGGCCCTTGCTTTTTCGATGCAGCTCAACAGTGGATAGAAAACTAGAAAATCCAGCCCAGCCAATAGATCAGATTTCAGGGGCAATTTGGCAAGAACTTGTTTCTTCACCAGGCCGTTTGTTTCTTCACCTTTACCTTCCTGAACCCAAGAGAACCCTGCAAAAAACCCCAAAACGATTCCTTGTCCAATCTGACCAACCCAGTTATTTCGCTTGCCAAGTTTAATTTTGGTTTTTTAAGCTATGAGCGGAGAAGGCTTGCCAACAAAGTGCTCGGGGTTCCTTGTTTCCTGCAGAGAGAGAGACACACAGAATTTTAGGGCCTTTCCCAATTTTTAATAAAGGACAACAACAACAACTACAACACTTCGCTTTTGGCTGCAGTTCTGGCACCCAACATTTCGCATTGAGTGAAATCTGAAGAGTTCAGCATTCTAGAGGAATTTGAATGGCAGCCGAAGGCCTCTTCAGTGAGAGTGTTGAAAGCGTTTCAGATGGAACTGTGAAATGGGGGGTGGGTGGGGGGCGGTTTGGCTGCAAAACAGGCGCAGCTGGAGGAGAGGAATGAATCCCAAGAGCATCTGATAGCTGAGGTGTCACGCGGTGTCATCTCTCGCTCGCATTGCCTGCGCTTGGGCCTGAATCGGCCAATTGACAAACTCGGGCGTGCGAAGATTAATTGGGCAAGGCTTTCCCTGGCGCCGCTGCCCCAGCCTCCCTTATCAGGGGCAGACACTGCGATGGAAGGCAGAAGAGCATTGCAATAGCCAGAGCTGGGCTCCCTTCATGCCTGCCTCTTTAAAGAAAAGAATCAGGAGCTCTTTATCTAAATGCAAATGTGATCTGAGCTCTCTGATGAGGGCATCATTATACAGTCATCTATTCCACAAGCTGCGCAATTAGCAGATTTCTTTCTTTCTTTTTTAAAAAAAGAAAAACTCTGAGTCTACTGAGCTTTGCTTAGGAAGTTCTTTGGCACTGTGCAAATGCTATTTAAGTCGGAGCGAGGAAACTTGTGTCACTAGAACATGGCATGCAGGCAGATTATACCCCCCCCAATGATTACTTTTTTATTATTTAGTGGAGTCCCTATCGTTAGGAGACCTTGGTAGCCTGACTTCTGTCGCCTAGGCTCTGGCAACCTCTAGGCTAGATTACTGCAATGTGTTACACATGGGGCTGCTGTTGAAGACAGTTTGGAACCTGCAGGTGGTGCAGAATTCAGAAACCCGGTTGCTCACCGGGGCAAGACAGCCTGAGCACATAACACAAATTCTGGCCCATGCACACTGGCTTACAATTGGTTTCTGGGCCCAATTCAAAATGCTGGTTTTGACCTATATAATAGAAGAGAAGAAGAGTTTGGATTTGATATCCCGCTTTATCACTACCCGAAGGAGTCTCAAAGCGGCTAACATTCTCCTTTCCCTTCCTCTCCCACAACAAACACTCTGTGAGGTGAGTGGGGCTGAGAGACTTCAGAGAAGTGTGACTGGCCCAAGGTCACCCAGCAGCTGCATGTGGAGGAGCGGAGACGCGAACCCGGTTCACCAGATTACGAGACTACCGCTCTTAACCACTACACCACACTGGCTCTCTATAAAGTTCAGGACCCGAATACCTGAAGGACTGCCTGTCCCCACATGAACCAACCTGGACCCTGGGTTCTTCATCTGAGGGGGGTCCACCTGAGTGTCCCTATTTCCAGGGACAGCCCCAGATTTATAGAAGCCGTCCCGGTTTCTGATTTAATTCCAGAATCTCCTGCTTTTCTCAGAACATCCCTATTTTCATTGGAGAAATATTGGAGGGTATGCCATCCACACACCTTATATCGGGGTGCTTTGCTCCATTAGAAAGAAAGGAAGAAGCAGAAATGTCCTTAATTTTTAGAATACGCTGTTCGTAATCACAAAATCATGTGAATTAATCATTGGCGAGTCTGTGTTGATCATTACCCTGCTTGGTTTATATTAACAGGAGCCATTGAGCTCTCTATTAACTGCACAAGCTGCTGCTAGACCCAAGTGGGCCTTTCAAAAATGGTTTTTTATTGCATTTATGCCTCCACGTATTTTTCTAAGGAGCTCAAGGAGGCATCGTGCTTTGCGCCCAGGGCCGGATTTAGGTTTGATGAGGCCCTAAGTTACTGAAGGTAATGGGGTCCTTTATATGGCCAGCTGTCCTTTGTCAACAACAAATTGTCGCTGTTTTTGGTGTTGAATATATGCTATATGGTAATTTATGGACCCATAAGAATGGCACCAGCAAAAGACACGGACGTGACAGCGGAGAGGGACTGAGGGCCATAGCTCAAGCTGAGAGCACAGGGACCCATGTTCAATCCTTGGCATCTAAATGGATCTCAAAAGAAGGACTGGAAGCGGCTGTCACTCAGTCAGGGCCGATGAAGGTGGTCCAGAAGGAGCAATGGGATGCATTTAGAATCATAGAATGGTAGAGTTGGAAGGGAACCAGAGAGTCATGTAGTACAATGCAGGAATCTCGACACACAGTCCCCCATCCAATTTGAAACCATGCCGGATGCTGCTGAGCTTTGCAAATGCGCTAGCAGTTTTATCACATTTTATCGCATTTCTATAGTGCTTAATATTTCAAAAATTCTCAAAGTACAGTCTGAAAAACAGCCACAAACCAATTTAACATTCAAACAAAAATACACAACCCAAAACGAGTCAAGACAGCACTATAAAAACCACATCAAAGTATTATGAAAACATTTGTTGCACAAAAGCCAATGAAACTGAAATTCATGAAACAGCACCCAGTCTTATGGCTTAGGGAAAGCCTGGGCATAAAAAAAAAGTAAGCTTTTACTAAATGTCAGAAGCAACTTAGGGTTGTTGCTTCACGTATCACAGAGGGGAAGGCTCCCCCTAGCACAGGAGCAACAGCAGAAAATGCCCGTTTTGGGGCCACCAATCTAAGAAAAAAGGGCTCTGCTCCAGCGCACCACGAGATTTTGTTCCTGGTCCCCCAATTTAAGTGTTGGCAAACACTTAACTTGTAGAGCAGAGCTTTCCAAACTGTGCCCACGACACATTACCATGTCTGTGTCCCACAAACGCTCCCCACCTTCCTCCCATGGCTAGAAAGGGGTCAGTTTAACCACTGGTTTGCTAAGAAAGGTGAATTATGGTACTAGGTCATGTCTAAAAATGTGTCACCAACTTGAAAAGTTTGGAAAGCTCTGTTGTAGAGAAAGGGGAAATAAAAACGCCCAATTCATGCATACAGTCTTCTAATACACAGAATCATAGAATTGTAGGGTTGGAAGGGACCCTAAGGGTCATCTAGTCCAACCCCCTGCAATGCAGGAATCTTTTGCCCAATGTGGGGCTTGAATTCATCACCCTGAAATTAAGAGTCTCATGTTGAGCTATCCCAATAGAATCCCAAATTAGAGGGCCTTTTGCCCATCACGGAGGCATCACAGCTTGCCTCCCTCACTCCCCAATCTCATCTAGGATTAAAGCATGAGTTGCTATTTCGCAGGTCCCTTTTCTGTGGCATTGCAGGCAGATATCCAACAGACAAAGCTTTCCTGGAAAAACTGCACCTGTTGGATTACCGCTTATCACACAGCCTTGGTGTGGAAGCAAGAGAGCACGGGATTTTCCTGCAGAAACTGCTGTCAACAGAAGGCCTGCGTCTTGCTCGCCAGAGGGCGCCCTTTCACTGCCTGAAGCACGCCTGCGTCAATCTCCCCCCCCCCCACGCTGATTATGTACCACAGAGATAGAAAAAGATTAGAGCCACGCGCGGACTGAAATTCCGTGTTGCAGTGAGGTTTTTTCCATCCAAGATTTAGGTGTGATTGTGGTGAAGCTTTTCCTTACATGGGGTAAGCGTGATCATTCGCTGATGCGAACTCATTGAGCTACTGTTAGAATCATAGATAACAGAATCTTAGAATTGTAGTTACTTTTTTTGCAACCCACCCACAACAAAAAAAATAGCAAGAAGCAGACGATTTTGTTTTGCTTAACTCCCTTCTATGTGTACTTATTTCTCTTTTGTTTCTTTCTTAAATGAATGCTCAATAAATAATCAATACAAAAAGCAAGGTTTTATTTTGCAGAATTAATTCATAGCAATAATTTTGCCATACCAAACAAGGCCCGTGGACAGAATATAGTTGTTTTTGCTATTAATAATAAAATTAATAATACTATATTAATTATTATTAATAATACTGATGGTGATTATGATTCCATACAAAATAAAACCTGAGTTAGAAAGAATTAAATCTGGATAATAATAATAATAATAATAATAATAATTTATCCACAATCAGACTCGACCTTAAACAGAGGTTGGCTGGGCCTCTGTCATGGATGCTTTAGCTGAGATACCTGCGTGGCAGAGGGTTGGACTGGATGACCCTCGTGCTCCCTTCCAACTCTACAATTCTATAATTCTGTAATTGCTGATAGATGCCCTGGGACCTAAACCCAAGCAGCTACTGTGAAATTCTGAATATCTTTCGTGATCTGCATACGAAGCTTTCCTGCATACATTTAGAGCTCACGATTTCCCTCCAATAATCCCTTCCCTCCCCCTTCCATATAGAGCCACAATCCCTAGCACACTTGGCAAACGTCAGTTCCCAGATTCTTTGCGGGTTTTGTGTTTGGAATGTGTGTTGAATGAGATTTACATATATGCTGCGGATCTGCTAGGATAAGACAGTCTAATCCCACTTTCCTAGAACAGGCCTCCCCAATCTCAGCCCTCCAGATGCTTTGGGACTACAATTCCCATCATCCCTGACCACTGGTTCTGTTAGCTAGTCATGTTGTAGTCCCAAAACATCTGGAGGGCCGAGTTTGGGGATGCCTGCCCTAGAATTAATCCACACTGAACTCAGTGAGATTTACTCCTGAGTAAACGTGTGCTGAGTAGGGCGGCTTCCAACGAGAACCCGGAAGCTCCGTATCCAGCAAATAGGATGTGTCCCTCTACTACTTTTTATCTCTACGTTGCCCGGAGAACCGGCGGCAGGGGTGTCCTGGAAAAAGGGACCGCGCATGCGCCAGGAGGAGGTCAGCTTCTTGGTAAGGGAGCTTTTGCAACAGGGAATGTGCATATATGCGTGTGACGGGAGCTGGGGTGCTTCGTGCACAGGGGTCCGTTGGAGACTGTGTACTGGGGAAGGCCTGTAAAACAGATTGGGAGGTGAAGGAGAGGGTGGATTGCAATGCAAAGGTTGCAAACCCCAGAATGCAAGAGGGGCGTCCCTGGCTGATACCCAGCTCTACCTCTCTCTCAAATCAGAACCAGTGAAGGCGGTGAAGGTCCTGTGTGAGTGTCTGGAGGCGGTTGGAGGATGGATGGCGGATAACAGATTGAGGTTGAATCCTGACAAGACAGAAGTACTGTTTTGGGGGGACAGGGGGCGGGCAGGTGTGGAGGATTCCCTGGTTCTCAATGGGGTAACTGTGCCCCTGAAGGACCAGGTGCGCAGCATGGGAGTCTGGTACACAGGCTGAGACCCTACCTGCCCACAGACTGTCTCACCAGAGTGGTGCATGCTCTGGTTATCTCCCGCTTGGACTACTGCAATGCGCTCTACGTGGGGCTACCTTTGAAGGTGACCTGGAAACTACAACTAATCCAGAACGTGGCAGCTAGACTGGTGACTGGGAGTGGCCACCGAGACCATATAACACCGGTCTTGAAAGACCTACACTGGCTCCCAGTACGTTTCCGAGCACAATTCAAAGTGTTGGTGCTGACCTTTAAAGCCCTAAACGGCCTCAGGCCTGTATACCTGAAGCAGCGTCTCCACCCCCATCATTCAGCCCGGACACTGAGATCGAGCACCGAGGGCCTTCTGGCAGTTCCCTCGCTGCGAGAAGCCAAGTTACAGGGAACCAGGCAGAGGGCCTTCTCGGTAGTGGTTCCCGCCCTGTGGAACACCCTCCCACCAGATGTCAAAGAGAACAACTACCAGACTTTTAGAAGACATCTGAAGGCAGCCCTGTTTAGGGAAGCTTTCAATGTTTGATGTATTACAGTATTTCAATATTTTTTTTGGAAGCTGCCCAGAGTGGCTGGGGAAGCCCAGCCAGATGGGCGGGGTATAAATATATTATTATTATTATTATTATTATTAACATGGTGCAAAGCGGCAGAGGCAGCCCCCAAGTTAAGGCAATGCGGGCTGAGCGCGTTTCCACCCCTCTCTTACTCCAAAGAGTGCTCCCTGCTTACTTGCAGGCGCACAACAACCCTGTGAGGTAGGCGAGTCCGAGAGGGTGGGAGCAAAAGGTCAGCCCTATTGGCTTCATGTCCTGCCAACCTAGCAGTTCGAAAGCACGTCAAAGTGCAAGTAGAAAAATAGGTACCACTCCGGCAGGAAGGCAAACGCCGTTTCCGTGTGCTGCTCTGGTTCGCCAGAAGCGGCTTAGTCATGCTGGCCACATGACCCGGAAGCTGTACGCCGGCTCCCTCGGCCAATAAAGCGAGATGAGTGCCGCAACACCAGAGTCGTCCGTGACTGGACCTAATGGTCAGGGGTTCCTTTACCTTTTTATTAGCTTCATGGCCTTGCAGAGATCTGAACTCTGGTCTCCCAGGCTGATGCTCTTGAACCACTGAGCAGTGCTGGAGGCAGGGGTGGGGGTTGCAAATCCGATACACGCGGGTGTCTCTGGTGGGTGGGTGCAACACAGCTGCCTTGGTGGGAGGGGAGGAGGCTATGGGTATGGGTGGGAACACACCTTTGGACTTCAAGGTGTGAAAATAGCAAATTTAACCTCAGGCAGCACGGACCATGGGAGGCAGATTGCGCATGGAAGCGCACGGAATTGCACCAAGGTGCAGTAAACAACCATCGTGGAATGCGAGCATGTGCAAGCCTGTGGCACAGTGTGCTCACTGCATCCAACATTCCTCCTCCGTGCTTTCCTGATTTATTGGCGGAGCGACTCGTAAACAAAATTGCTTTCACTAACGTATTAATTTTTAGGCGGCAATTGAAGCGGTAAATTTAAAGCTTTGATCGGTGCTTTTTAGGTGACAGTAAGCCCTTCCAAGTCCTGGCAGATATGTGTGTTTGATTTCTGCAGGTGGAAGAGAGAGAGCAGAAGCTGATATGTCTCAGGACTTACGCTGTCTGTTTGCAGGACATCTTGAATTTCAGAATTATTGCTTTCCAGGATTCATACACATTTTAGAGTTGGAAGGTGTTTTGCAGGTTGTCTCGTCCAACAGGCACCTTCCTCCTCCATATCATCAGTGTTGTCCTGGTAGAACTCAGCAAGGGACAGGATAGGGACTAAACGAATTGGCTTTGCCTGTCATTTAGTTTGCTCTGCTTGTCATTGACTCTGGCGCCACCTACTGTTCGGCTCCTTCCCTTCCACCCTACCAGTCTCAATGGGCACCAACCGCCAGGCAGCTGCAGTTGTTTAAATTGTTCTTGCGTAGCCAGACATTACAATGATCATTTTATACAGCTTTTAATAATTTTATAAGCATGCTTTTGTATTGTTGTACACTACCCTGATAATTTATGGGAGGGCAGTATACAAATAGTTTTATTAAATACATAAATATAAATAAAATGGCTTTTAATCAATCAGTTATACATAATGTAACACATCTTATAAATTGATATATAAACGAAGAGTCACCTTCACCTTTTGATTAGAGATGCATGATTAATACCTCTTATATCATAATAAATACCACAATTGTATTTTGAATTAAAGACAATATTTACGTACAGAACACAATACTTATATTCAGAACATTATAAACCAAGAATTTATTTCCGATATCAAGTTTAAATTTTTACTGTACTGAATAAATTTTCTCCTTACTAGGGAGTAAGGCCTCTGCAACTCAGTGGGGCTTACCTCTGAGTAAATGCTTTGCCTTTAAAACTGCAGCTCCTCTAAGATAAGATCCAGGAGCAGAGCTGGTTACAGTGTCCTGGCCAAAAAGGACAGAACAGCTCCTGCTACACAGTCGAAAGTCCTCGAATTTGTGGCTGATTCTCATGGATATGAAAATGTATGAATAATAATATGTGTGTGTGTGTGTGTGTGTGTGTGTGTGTGTGTGTGTGTATGTATGTATGTATGTATGTATATATACCGGCTGGGTTTCCCCAGCCACTCTGGGTGGCTCCCAACAGAATATTAAAAACATCAGTCATTAAAAACTTCCCTAAACAGGGCTGTCTTCATACGCCTTCTAAATGTCAAATAGTTGTTTATTTCCTTGATATCTGATGGGAGGGGGTTCCACAGGGCAGGCGCCACTACCGAGAAGGCCCTCTGCCTGGTTCCCTGTAACCTTACTTCTCGCAGCTAGGGAACCGCCAGAAGGCCCTCAGAGCTGGACCTCAGTGTTTGGGCTGAACGATGGAGGTGGAGATGCTCCTTCAGGTATACAGGACCAAGGCTAATGAATGACTAAATTGCAGGCTGAATGACAACTGTTTTAGCTGTCGCTTCAGGGATGCAAACCTTGACGTTGGGGTTGCTTGTGCAATTTGACTAATACTCCTGCAAATCTGTCTCGCTTTCTTTGAGGAGCTGGTCGATCGCAGGCGATGGCTCCCCTCCCGGGAGCGGAGCTGGTGAAAAGCCCTCTGCAGCTGTACCGATACCTGCTGCGTTGCTGCAAGTTGCTGCCAGGGAAGAATGTCCAGGAGCACTACAAGCACATGATCCGGCAGGTAAGGAAGAAGACTTAGACCTGTTGTTGTTGTTTAGTCGTTTAGTCGTGTCCGATGCTTCGTGACCCCGTGGACCAGAGGACGCCAGGCACTCCTGTCTTCCACTGCCTCCCGCAGTTTGGTCAAACTCATGCTGGCAGCTTCAAGAACACTGTCCAACCATCTCTGTCCTCCCCTTCTCCTTGTGCCCTCCATCTTTCCCAACATCAGGGTCTTTTCCAGGGAGTCTTCTCTTCTCAGGACGGGGCCAAAGTATTGGAGCCTCAGCTTCAGGATCTGTCCTTCCAGTGAGCACTCAGGGCTGATTTCCTTCAGAATGGATAGGTTTGATCCTCTTGCAGTCCATGGGACTCTCAAGAATCTCCTCCAGCACCATAATTCAAAAGCATCAATTCTTCAGCGATAAGCCTTCTTTATGGTCCAGCTCTCACTTCCATACAGCACTACTGAGAAAACCATGGCTTTAACTATATGGACCTTTGTTGGCAAGGTGATGTCTCTGCTGTCTAGGACTTAGACCTAGGATCATAGAATTGTAGATTTGGAAGGGGCCATGAGGTTCATCTTAGTTCAATGCCCTGCAACGCAGGAACCTTTCGCTCAATGTGGGGCTCAAACCCTTGACCCTGAGGTTAAGCATCTCATGCTGTACTGGCTGAGTTATCCCAGCAAGTGTCCCTGGGATGCTGAATACTGGGAGCTTGCTTTGTACCAAGTCTAGTTCAGTATCACAGTAGCTCTCCGGGATTTCAGGCCGGGAACACGCCCAACCTGATTGCCCTGTCACCTAAACGTAAAGTTAGGGCTGTTGTCCTACTCCAAGTAGACCCACTGAAAATCTTGGACAGGGCTAACTTGGTTCCCTTAGTTCCAGCGGGTCTCCTCCTAGTTGGATGCAGCTCCAAGGCGCTAGTCCTCATGCCTCGAGATAAAGTACTGGATTAAATAAGAACCTAGGAAACGGTCTTATTCAGAGTCAGCAGAAAAAGGGAGAAGCGTGTCTCAGACGGGTTGGAAAAGATGGATGTCCGATATGATGTTAGCCTGACAGTTTTTGCCTTGCACGAGCTTCCTTCAAGGGCTTATCTCACTGATTTCCTTATAAACTTTGGGTGGCCTTTGTTCAGCTTGTGGAGAAATTTGCAAGACTGGATGCTTCCTGTGTGCATATACTGAGTCAGTCACGTGGTTCGGAATTCGTAACCTAGACCTTGGCTGAGAGCAGTTACAAGGCCACTGGAGAGAGCTGCCACTGGGGAAACAGAGGAGGCTGTTTTAAACAGAGACTCTTTGTCCCTCAGTATTGCCAACACTGGCTGGCAGCAGCTCTCCGATAAGGGTACTTTGGATAAGGAGCGTTCCTGGCCCTACCAGAATTGAGCTAGGGACCAAGACCATTAGGCCTGAACTGGGTGTTAAGAGATACTTAAAGGTAAAGGTAAAGGGACCCCTGACCATTAGGTCCAGTCGTGACAGACTCTGGGGTTGCGGCGCTCATCTCGCTTTATTGGCCAAGGGAGCCGGCGTACAGCTTCTGGGTCATGTGGCCAGCAGGACTAAGCCGCTTCTGGCGAACCAGAGCAGCGCACGGAAACGCCGTTTACCTTTCCACTGGAGTGGTACCTGTTTATCTTCTTGCACTATGACATGCTTTTGAACTGCTAGGTTGGCAGGAGCAGGGACCGAGCAACGGGAGCTCACCCAATTGTGGGGATTCGAACCGCCGACCTTCTGATTGGCAAGTCCTAGACTCTGTGATTTAACCCACAGCACCACCCGTGTCCCCCTAAGAGATACTTATTTTCTAGCAAATGCGCTCTGGACTGAGTACTCCATTGTCCTTTAACTGAACGGGTTGCTCTCTCCCTGCAAATCATTTTGCAGAGTTTTCACGTCCATTCTGATGAAGACAACCCAGAGCGGATCCGGCAGATCATCAAGAGATCCATTGAAGATGCTGACTGGGTGATGGAAAAAGTGAGTATTCCTTGCAGTTTTCTGGTTCTGTGAAGAGGGATTGATTGCCAAACTGAGCTCTCTGAGAGGAACACAACTCTCGGCACCCTTAAAACTACAGCTCCCATAATCCTCTGGGGTAAGCCACAGGTGCCTGAAGGTGGCTTCCGCCTGGATTCTAAGGAGGACCTGCAGCCAAAGACTTACAGTGGGGGTGAGTTTGTGGAAATGGCAAAATTGACGGCAATCATTAGAGGCCATTCAAATCAGAGAATAATTAAAAGAGTGGCATGGAGTGAAGGAATACATGAAAAAATATGGTTCCGGAACTGGAATATTAATAGATAATGTGTAAAACATGCAGGGGTAAGCAAGGATCAATTGAATAAGAATCAATTGAATAATTATTAAACTACAAGAACACAACAAGATGGAAGAAGTTAAAAAAAATATTGAGATCACACATGGGTGAAGGGGAGTGGGGGGTATAGGGGAATTTATAAAAAATTATAATATAATATTTCTAATTGCGTTCCATTTATATATAGCAAAGGGAAGTCTATAGCAATTAGGTATATTTTAATCTAGTCAACTTTGTAATAGGCTTATGTTACAAAATGAATATGGATTTTGAATTTGATGTTTGTAATTCTTTTTCGGTTTTGGAATAAAGTTAAAAAAAAAGAAAAGACTTACAGTGGGGGTGTGTTCCTGTTCAATATGCCAGCCAGCCAGCTTTGCCCTTTTCTAGCACGCTCCATTCCGGACTCCACTCTCTTCCCATTGAGGAGAGACAAAGCTGGCCAAAGTCACTCCTAGCCACAGAGGACAATTGGGCACATGGGGACAAGGATGTATCCCGCAGCAGCCCCAAGCTATGCCATTGCTCTTTCAGAGGGGCTGCGACCCCATCCAGCACAGGTAGCTTGCCTGCGTCCCAGAAGTTTTGCTTATTTCCTTCCTGTTTCCCTCTTTCCCTTTTAGTATAAGAAAAGAAAGTAGGCCGGAAAGAGTTAGATGGACAGAAGACGCCTCGTTTCTTGAATCAATTTGGGTTCAGAGGACCAGAGTGGATCAGCAGCCCTCGTCTTTCTCCGGTTGCAAAATGTACGATGGCGAACCCTACCTCGGCCTCCCTGGGGTGAGCTTTTCAAAGCTCTTTGCTTTCAGTGATCATCCATTGGCACAGACAAGCAGGATGCTGTCGCGATTTACCAGATTTCGGTTTCAGACTTAAATGCTGAACTCCCTTGACAAGGGAGTCAAGGCTTTTAGCTGAAATATAGGGAATGCTCGAATCTCGAAAAAGGAGTCGTTTGAGATCTCAGGATGGAAAGTTGTGTCTACAGGATTCTGCTTAGGGCTGAATAATGAACGTCGCTGTGTTTTGCTGGAATTCAGATAAACAAGACACCCTTGGATTGAAGACTGTTGCTTGCTTTGAAATCTTCATTAAAAACAAGTGCATGGTAGCTACACTTCTGCTTACAGCCAATAAATCAGGTGCCGTTCACACGCTGAAGAGTCAAGGATCTCTTTGCTGATTTAAATTAAAATGCCCACAGGCTGTACAAAAAACCCCAATGTATGTGCCATTTGTAATTCAGTTTTAAGAAAGTGTGCCAGATTACATTACATGAAATTGCTTTTTTTGGTAGCCAAAAGGCAAAGAATTCATATTTACTTTACAATGATATGCCTTGCTTTTCATTTCATCTGCGCTTCAAAGTGTCCTACAAAGATCTAAAACGCTGAAAAATAAAACATAGGAACCCCAAGAGTCATCTAGTCCAGAATCCTTGACCTCCGTTTACAAACAGACTCCACCACCTTCACTAATCCTTTTTGGGCTGGGAGGTTTGTCTCCTAAACTGTTTTTAAAAGTAAGGGTGTTTTTCGGTGACTCTGCAAACCACAAGATTCCCCCGAGCATGTTCCCCAGTGTCCCTTTGACTCCCATTTCCGTCAGCACTCACCCCCCAAGTTTGCTGTTAGAGGGAGTGATTTATTTCTTTTTTTACTCCAGTTGCCTACAAAATATTTAGGGTGGTTAAATAGGGTGGCTAAATCAGTAGCAGTCCACATGACCGTGTGCTGATACAGAACCACCCATCCTTAGAAGGAAAAAGGTATTCTTTCGATATTCGTACATCAAAGTTCCCAGTTACCGCTTGCAACCACATACTAAAGATTGTGTAGCCAATTCTGGCCACACACTCAAGTGCAGACCCATTGAAATGAATGGGCATGGCTACCTTAGGTCCATTAATTCCAGCAGATCTACTCTTGAGTGAAACTTCGTTGGATACAAGCCTAATGGAGATTTTTCCAATCTCATGAGACTTCAGGAGTCTGGAGCATTGCAAATTCACCCCAATAAGGTGGATTTAAGGGAATGCGAGCAGTTTGCCCAGTCCGAGAAGGCTTGACAAGGGATGCTGCAACAGTGACAATCAACAGAAGGCCAAACTTTGCAGGATGCTGCTGAAATTTTAAAGCCCAGAGTCCGCCACTGCCAAGTGTCCTGTAGCATTAAACAATAGTCTTTTGTTCTAGTTCAAGATGCTTTCATCTGCCTGCAGAGGGCAGCGCAGGAAGCCCTTGGCATCTTCCGTTTAGCATCTTCTGATTTCTGATGCCTTAAAAAAAAAGTTTGCTTCCTTGACTGGAAGAGGTTACAGTGTAGCCTCTGCAACCAGAAGCCAAATTTAATCTCATGGATAATGAACACCACAGCAAAAGAACCGGCGGTCGACCATTTCCACCTTGGTTGTGATTTACCGGGGCGGCATCTATCTTTAATAGGAATGTCTACCTTTTCGTGTTAATGGTTGGTTGAATCACTGCTACAATAACACACAAATGTTTTGTTGGTTTATAGCAGATTAGGGACTTGGCAACCCCAGGGAGAGTACAAATGAATGAATCCAAGCAATCCTAAACTGCTCTAAGTGCATCGTACGTACTGAATAATGAGCTGTCGTCTTAAGTCGACGCAATCCCTCGAGGCATTGGTTGCTGCCCCGATAATCTGGCAGATTTGTCCTACTACTCCGTTGTCCCTGCTCAATTGAATTAGGCGGCTTAGGTAGGACTCACCATGCTCTCCCTACCCAAGGGGAAAAGTGGGGGCTGGATTAAAACTCGGTACCTGCGTAGATTCTGCGAGCTGTGCGGAAAGCTTGTTGATTCTCAAGTGTCAAAGGCTGACGCCCTCAATGTTTGCTTGTATCGTTCAAGGAAAGGGGAAGGGGGTTGCGCAAGGTGATGGATGTGTCAGAGGTCATAGGCGAGGTCATGGATGTGTCAGAGGTCACGGGCGAGGTCATGGATGTGTCAGAGTTCACGGGCGAGGTCACAGAGGTATCCTAACAGGAGCTGTTGGCCCCAGCTTCTGTGGAAAGTCTCACGCAAAGGGTTTTTTTTTAGCCACAACCTGAAGATCTTGAACGCGAGAGATCGGGAGAAACAGAGTTTTGAAACAGAAGGGAGGCAATTGGCAAGTGAATGATTGAATCCACTTCCAGGGGCAAAACTCAAATTAGGGGATTGGCATGTGAATTCGGACCACCCCAAAAGACAGTTTTTGAGTCCACAAGATTGGGTCGACCACAAAGCCCAGCCAGGTGGCTGTTCTCTACCTTCGCTGGCAATTGATGTGTGGCAAAATTCTCTATGCCGCTTGATCGACTGATATTTATCCCTCCCTTATCAATACCATTGCTACCTTCTAGCAGCGAACACAGGTGGAGGGTGCCTGATGTTTGCAGAAGGACAATATAGATCAGTTCCAGGAGCACTAAGCCACTGACTCTTCCAGGTTCCTCTTTTTAATCCTCAATCAATCAATCAAATAAATAAATAAATATTGGGGATATTTTCTGCTGCACAGCATCAAAGCTTAGGGATGGAGGAGAAGTTTGGGTTCATTTGCCTTGAAAGGCAAAACCCACCTGATTTGTAGTTTCTGATACGATACGCAAACCCGAAACGCAGCCATCCTTTGAAAACGACGCTTCTTTGAGTTTTGCTATGCAGTTCTCTAGCCAGGTAACGTGTTCAAATTTTTTGAAATCAGCAACGCTACCCTAGACCCGGCTCTGGGTCATGGACACCAGGAAAAACCGCTGAAAAGTGGAAGAAGAGCTCAGCACCTTCTGAGGTCACCCGTTCCACTGTTGAACCAGCTCTTACCATCAGAAAGTTCTTCCTAATGTTTAGTCGGAATCCTTTCTTGACGCTTGAGCCCATTGTTCCATCTTCCCAAAGTTGGATGGGCTGGCTTGTGTTTCGATGTTCATTTTTTTAAAAACAACAACAACAGCAAAATATATTTTAAAAAGAAAAATAAATGCCAATTCGGGATTTTTGTGTGAAAATGGGAATCCCCGCCCCCCTTGTTTGTAGCACCACAAAAACAGATGTCCTTTTTGTGACACCAGCCACTGCCCCTGGCTAATTTGGCTGCCGGGTTTTTTATTGGCTGGGATCGTTTAGCAGCCCGAAAATGTTTTCGTTTGCAAGTGAATGCAAAAACAAGAACATTCCTCGATGGGCGCATCAAACACTTGGTTCAAGCTGCACATAGCAGATGCATTCGTCGTTCACGGGGCCTTTTTCTGCGCTTATTATCAGCCAGCCTTTCAGCTTTCTTATTATTGGATTACATTCCCCACCCACCCACCTCCGGTATCTTACCTGCCCATCGCACGAGCTTTTTAATGAAGCTGTGTTAACTGATGTGCACCTGAGTCATCAAAAGCTCCCGTAAGCTGGCATTTTATCAAATGGGGTGGGGTGGAGGGACAAGCAAAAAAAGCAACCTCCCAAAGCATGGACATACCAATTCTTTCACTCTTCTTGCACTTGGGAAAAACACAGCCTTATTTTTCTCGGCTAACTGTTCTTGTCTCAGGTTCCACCTCTACGGGATGTCAGGGGGAGGGCGGGGGGGGGGGGGCGTCTTGGTATTGTGAACCATCTTTAAAGATGAAAATGCAAATTTGAGACCGAAAGAGCTAATTGCCTTGCTTTTAGTAGCCGCTTGACAACTTATTGCTCAATTTTTTTAAAAAAAAACTTTTGCAACTATCACAGTGGAAACAGAAAGTTTGGACAATAGCACTTCTGGAAAAACTGACCAAGGGAGTTAAAGCATTAGCTGGGAAAAAAGAGATGAGGGCAACTTTCTAGTGACATGATGCCCTTTCATCACACACTCAACAGAACATCATTAGCCTTGATCGCTAATAATAACAATAGTAGTAGTAGTAGTAGTAATAGTAATAATAATAATAATAATAAAACAATAACCAGTGCTTTTTTCTGGGGGTAAGACGGTGGCGCTGTGGTCTAAACCACAGAGCCTAGGGCTTGCCAATCAGAAGGTCGGCGGTTCAAATCCCCGCGACGGGGTGAGCTCCCATTGTTCAGTCCCTGCTCCTGCCAACCTAGCAGTTCGAAAGCACGTCAAAGTGCAAGTAGATAAATAGGTACCACTCTTGCGGGAAGGTAAACGGCATTTCCGTGTGCTGCTCTGGTTTCGCCAAAAGCGGATTAGTCATGCTGGCCACATGACCCGGAAAAACTGTGGACAAAACACCAGCTCCCTTGGCCAGTAAAGCGAGATGAGCACCGCAATCCCAGAGTCGTTCGTGACTGGACTTAACTGTCAGGGGTCTTTTACCTTTTTTTTTTACTCAAGGGTATGCAATACCAGCACTGTTTTTCTAGAAGAAAAGCACTGATGATGATGATGATGATGATGATGATGATAATGATAATAATACACTAATTATATGCCACCCATCTGACTGGGTTGCTCCAGCCACTGTGGACGTCTTCCAAGAAAAGTTTACAGTCCAGGTCCAGCAGGTGCCATTCATATAATTATAGAATTGTATTGTTGGAAGGGACACTGAGGATCATCTAGTCCAACCCCCTGCAATGCAGGAATATGCAGCTGTCCCATACGGGGACTGAACCTGCAACCTTGGCGAAATCCCATTCTAGACAGGTGACTCTGCCATCCACGCAGCCTGCCCGATCTAGACCTCGTGAGCTCCGGCAAGGTGGCCCTTCACATTCTGGTTACCCAGATTGTGAGGCTCAACATGTTTCATAGAATCCTGGAATTGTAGAGTTGGAAGGGACCCCGAGGGTCATCCAGTCCAGCCCCTTCAATGCAAGAATTCGAAGGTAGGTCCTTGACCTTGTTGCGCAACAGAAACCAAAGGGCCTGCAGGAAGCCACGTGGGGCTGTGGGTGGGGCAGTTGCCTGCTCTGGTGTTGCTTTCGCTTTTGAGTGGAAAAGCCAAGTGATGATGCTTCGGACAAGTGGCGTTTACTCAGAACCTCTGGGAATTCCCCCCAGCAACCCAGCCGGAAGGTAATTTCTCCCCACACCTTTTTGTTTGGAGAGACGATGACTCTTTCCAATCCACGATGCTTTGATTTGGGGTTGTGTAATTTTTTATCTAACGTTGCTTTCCACTGCATCTGTGGCTTGGATCTGGAAGGCTTCTCAGAACTCTGGCATTTTTTTCAGGCAATGGAAAAGGACAGGAGGAAGAGCCCTGCAGCTGGATCACAACAATGACCCCCCTGGCCCAGCTTCCTGGACTGGGGCAAGCACTAACTAGGCCTTGGGAAGGAGGAGGAGGGTCTTTAGGACCCTGTCAGAGCCTCCCACCTCCTTCCCAATGCCCAGCACCTTGTTTACCAAGACATCCCCTTTGGCTCAGCGCATATTTCATGCGCATCACTTGCACAGCCCTAAAT